CCTTAATTGTGACTTGTCGACATCCAAGGAAATGAAGCAGACAAATCGGTAGATGACAATGACCTTGTCTTTACCAAAAAACGAGATAGCACAAGTAACGAAAATGAACATCTCTTCAGGGCGTTAAGTTTTCATAACCATAATAACAAAAGCGTTTTGTTAACAAATGACACAAGTATCCCCTAAACCTAACACAGCAATTATTTACATTTGTGTTTAACCTGTAATTTATCGCTTGCTACGTTTCATGTATACAGTTGGTAAAGGATGTATGCGATATCTTTAAACGTTGATAAATGAGTCAAAAATAGCTACTCAAGTTTGTGAAAGCAACAACCGTATTAACAGGTACGTTAAGCGGACTGGGTGCTCTCTCTATTAAATGTTTACCTCTAAACCATTATCCTGAACTACCTTTTACTGAAATGACAGAATGATCACAGAATCAGGATTAGTTGTGCAGAATTTGACATTCTAAGGTCATTTAAAGACGTGCCGCGATATATGTTGTGTATGCATGCATGTTCGTGTTGTGTGCTGGAGGCGGGAATGTTGGTGTATTAGCCTCTCGTTCCTCTATCGGCCCTCACATGCGACCTTCTGCCGAAGGGGGGGGGGGGCACAGTCTTTTTCAACCTAGGCATGCTTCAGACAACATTTGGTTTAAATCCCTTCATTTGTACAGAATAAAAAACAGTTTTCACTATTTCTCCTATTGGGCTCTGCCCCAAGGGGGTTACACCCTCCGTTTATACAAACTGCATGCCCCGATGTTCTAAAAGGCTCTAGAACAAATTTGGTCTACATCGGGTTTTTTTGGTTTAGAAGAAGATTTTTTAAAGATTTAACTATTTTCCACCTATTTGTTCTTGCCCTCAGGAGGGACCACATCCTCCGTTTATACAAAATTTAATTCCTTTTGCCCAAAAATTATCTAGAACAAGTTTGGCTAAAATTCCTTCATCGGTTTTAGAGGAAGGATCTTTAATTGTTTCCTTTATTTCCCCTAATTGGCCCCACCCTTCTGCACCCAAAATGGGGACCCTCACAACTCCGTTTATACAAAATTATTCCTTATTTTCCTAGCATGCTTCAGACAACATTTGATTTAAATCACTTCATTTGTACAGAAGGAGAACAATTGTCCAATATTTCCCCTTTTGGGCAAAAATAAAAAATCGCTCTCTTTTATTTTTTTACGAATGAAGGGGTTAGGGGATTCAATTTTGTATAATGTTTTTTTCGGAGTATGTGCACCCCCTACGGTTGAGGACAGAGGGAAGGGGTCCATGGGGAAATAAAGATAATTCAGTATCAAAAAATTAACCTTTCTGGGTGAATAAAGGGATTATCAACAAGTTTGTTAAAGATCATTTATAGACAAAAAGACTAAATTTTGTAGAAATGGAGGGCAACCCCATTAAGCCCAATTAGGGAAATATATCTACATGTAGTTCTTTTGCTATTTGTACTTCTTGTACTCCTTTAATTAACCTGTGTGTTACTCATCAGGTTCAAAATTGAAAAAAATACAAGGTGAGCTAGTGAGGCCCCTGGGCCTTTTGTTTTGAACAAATAATTATTTTTCAGTTGTCATTCGGCCGACAGAAGATAAATAATAAACAGTGACATCATGCATTATGCAATATATTCAATCCAATCAATTAAATCCAACAATCACTCGTCAACACATGGAATCAGCATTTGACAGATTCACAAACACTTCAAGTAACCTTCGCTGTAAGTTAAGCAAAATATCCAGACCATGAGATTGGCAGGTATTAATTGTAGATCTACCGGTAAAAAAAACAACAACATTTGTCCGCTAGCATTCTTCAAATACTTCCAAAATTAAGCGCGGGTTCCGTAAGAGCATTGGTCTGTTGGAGAATAATTTACGCGCGTATTTTTTGTCTTTCATCCAATAATCAATCGTCATTAACCAATAAAAAGGGTTGTTATAGCGAAAACTGTGTAGAGTGAGGCTTATTTATACAAACCCCTCATGATTAGTTCCCAGATTTAAGGCGCAATATTCCTTGAGCTTGCTTTTATATTTAGGACGTTAAACAAAATCAAACAAACAAACAAAATATTTTGAACTTCCAGTATTTAAATTCTTGTTCAGTTCTTTAAACAGGTTTGCGAACATACTGCTGTTGCTGCGTTTCTTATGAATAAGTCCTTCAAATGAGTTTTGAGCTGTTTGTCTTCTACTGACGTCTCCCAGACGGTGTTAGGGGACTTATTGTTTCCAATCCGCCAAACTAAGTCTGCCACGTTTCACATTAATTCCTCTTCACCTATTCATAAGCTTCACGAGTGCAGTGAGGGGCACATTTATGTATGCATTTGATATCTAGTTTTCATAGAGATATAATGCTTGGCACCATGATCTCTGATTTGCCGAAATAAACTGGGCTACCTGAGTATTCATTTTATTCCTTTTTGAAAATCGCAATCGGGTTCATTATTGGATTGCTTGATAGTGGTTTTTAAGACAGGTCGAAATTGGTGTAATGTTTAAATTCGCTAAAATGTTTACATGTTTATGTTTATGTTTATGTCGATTTGACAAAATGACCGCCTTTAATTGGTCTACATTTGTCTTCTTATTTGACAAAATAGTTTTCATTGGCGCTAAATGACCTTCTTTGTCGATGGGCCGTTAAACAATACAAAAACAAAACAAAAAAACAGTGGCTGGCTTCTGATTGATTGATTGGTTGCACGCCTGCATGTCGGTGACCTCTACTTAGTTGGGGTCACAAAAGCGACCACAATAGCACTCATTGCAACATTTTGGATCTTTGTCTTTCTTTCTACTTATAACAACCTTTTTTCCTAGCGCCTATAATAACATTACATATCTTAAATCACTTTTCGAAAACAGAACTGTCTTTTCAAATTTAGGCTATCTGATAGCTATTGGTCTTTGTAATAACATTTGAGTCATCATAGCCACTTTCAAAATGTAAGTTGACGTTTGTCTTTTAATCTTTAAGTTTGTTTAATGTTTATATTTTTCATTTGGGTTTTTTCGACCATTTGTTGGCCCAAATGACTTGTTCCATGTTGATTGGCCGTTAAGCATTTAATAAAAATAATAATTCTTAGCGCCTAGCTTGGCAATACCTCACTTATGGCTTTAATGTTTAGCGTTCGCCCAGGTGAGGAAGGCAACGGGTTCTGTCTACTGGCTAGGACATACCAAAGTCCTTGAAATGGTAGTTGTTATTCCCTGCTTAACGTTCAGCATTGAGAGTAACGGCAAAAACTGGTTCACCAGTTGATAATGTGACCGGGCGGAATGCTGTGCCGGGTGCCTTCGGCATGGTATAGCAGTGAGATAGCACTATAAAGTCGGCATCAGATCCGCGCTATTACAAGATTGGTTTAGTATTGTTAACGTCCTATCAACAGCTATTGTAATTTAAGGAGGTCTCCCCTAAGTGCAAGATATATGCGTGTGTGATTTGGGACGCTGCGATATGTTCGTGTTTGTCTCCTTGTGATATCGCGGAACTGATGCCGACCTTATAGTGCTTCCTTACTGAAACATACTGCCGAAGACACCAAGCAGGATACCGAGGATACCCCACCCGGTCAAAGTATACTGACAACGGGCGAACCAGTCGTCACACTCCTTAGAAACTACCATTTTTACAGATCCCAAAGCCTTTGTCACAGGGGCGAACCCTCAACTAAAGGGCAAAAGTGAGGCATTGTCAAGGAGGACAAAAGGAAGAAGACAGTTGTTTAGAAAGAAGAGACAAGATAATATCCCAAATTAAGTCGCCTACTACGATCATGCAATGGGGGCAGCAGGTACAATTATTACGCCCTACCTGCAGGGACAGCTGTTACAAGAAGGCAAGAACACCAACATATGTTAATAGAACTACATGGCTTTTTTGGGCGCGTTATGTAACAGGTCCCATTACACCTAGAAACTTTATTTTACTTGTACAAGACAAGAATTGAACATTAAGTTATGTACCCTCTCAGAGCAACTAAATACACTTGTTTTAATAGGTCCGTGTTGTATTTGGAGTCCGTGTCCTTTTGTACCGTTAATTACATTAGACATTAAAATGTTGGTAATTGGTGTTACCCGATTAATATAAGTTGACAAAAACATATTTTATTGTTGTTAAATGAAGTTTATTCGAAAACACCAATTCACTTCAATCTAATGTGGGTTTGTATCAATAGTATTAATAATAATTTGAGGTTGCTCTATACCGCTTTATCACAACCTTTTTTTTATATCCTTGAGAGTTTCTGTTTTACCAAGAATTGCATGGGCTCATGATATTACAACTTTAGAATACAGGAGTGAATGTCTAACAAATCTCCTTCCCTCGTGTAACCTTCGCTGTTGCAAGGACATTAAACAGCAAACAAACAACCAAGAGCAACAGCAAACTACTAAATTTGTTAAATGAAATTATCCTGGACTATTTTCAGGGTAGCACGGATGTGGTATTTGGTTCGCTCCGATTTACCAGCATGTTGTCAATCATGATATCATTACTATGCGACTTCTCTGCTCTACGAAAGATACCACAGCATCATAGATCGAGTATCCCGCCAGCTATAACATAAAAATGTAGCTCCGCGTATGATAGCGTGACACGTTGGCAGTAAAGTGGACTTTGCTAAATGAGATTTCTGTGATAGTCCGTTAAATCATTACCCGAAGAAACCCATTAGGTACTAGATACCTGCGACGTTCTGATCCTCCTTAGCAGTTACGTTCTATAAGTTTATCCATCAAATATGTTCCTAGCACGCAACAGATGTAAACAGGATATCATGTGGTACAACATGATAATGGCCAGACAGATTAGATCAGTTAACTACACTAAAGTAATAGTAAGTCCTGTGCAGTGTATTATGATATAACATGAATAGAAACTATTTTCATTTTTATTTATAGGTGATTTTTGATTTGGCAAATGAAAAATTCACGTATGTTTTTCTTGATATGTTGACAGATACACCTGGAGTTACTGTGCTGTGCTATGTTGAGGTAAAAAATGTGATACATATAATACTTTAAAGAACATCAGCATGAGTGGATACAGTGAAACCTCCCAAGGAAATATCTCCGTAAGCAGCCATAACCTCACATCACCATCAATCTGTGCAGAGGTGGACGATGCAACAAAGGTCGCTGCAAGAATACAGAGGAATATAACTCCTATCATCTGTATTTTAGGTATCATTGGAAACACACTAGCAACTATAGTATTTTTAAGTAAATCACAAAGGAAAACTTCATGTAGCCTATATTTGGCAGCCCGTTCAATATCGGATACAGGATTCCTTACTACATTATTTATTGTGTGTCTAACGGATTTAGGAATCAACATCTTCAACGTAGATGGAATATGTCAGGTTGTCATCTTTTTAACCTACATTTGCGGATTCCTATCTGTATGGTTTGTTGTCATGGTAACTGTAGAGAATTACATACGGATTTGCCACCCATTCAAAGTAAACCAGCATTGTACCGTTAAGACAGCGAAAATCGTCATAGCTGGATTTGTGTTTGTGTCGCTTCTCCTTTACAATTTTCCTTTGTGGACAACGGGGATACATGTCGGTCCAGATGGGAGTAAAATGTGTGCACGTCATAGTGTTTACGATAAAATCAATCAAATCGTCACGTACTCTGATACAGTCATCACTCTTATCGTTCCTATTCTAATGATTATATGTCTGATGATTGCCATTACATGTAGCATACTAGAATTTCTTCATCGCCAAACGAGGCTCAAAGGGAAACGACAAAACAGCAACGATAGACGACATTCGTCACCCCAGAGTAAAGTAACACGACTGCTGTTTTCCGTGTCCTTCGTTTTCATCACTCTCACGTTACCAAGTCACGTTATTCGAATTCAAATGACTTTGAAATATTTGTATTTTAGTTCTGCCTCGATAATATGTCCAACCATGGCTGAACTAGCAATTCAGAAAGTATTCTTGATTTTGTATTATTTAAGTTTTTCTGTAAATATTTTAGTGTATTTATCATTTGGTCAAAAATTTCGTAAAAATTTCATCGAGATTTTCCTTTCCAATTGTTGTTGTCGATTTAAGTACGGTCATCAAGAGTTAGTGACAATACCTAATTCGGATATGAAGAAAACAAAGTGTACTTTTGTTCAGACAGATCGCTGCACCGAGGTCTGATTTTGCAAATTGATATGTTTACTCTATTTCGGTGGTGCTTTCTCTATCGATACAATGAATGTTATTATTCCTATATATAGATGTTGTGTACTGACGACTCATTTTGACATGATAAAAAGGAATAGCAATAATCCATGTCATTTTGTTGGCTAAATAACAAGTTCACAAAATCGAAAAAAAAAAGGTAAGTTGTTAATATTTTTCATTATTCAATTTTCGTAAAGTTTGTTTGGTATATTTTGTTAGGCGTACTTTTAAGAGTAATTGCCTTAAGAACTGGTGTATAGGAAGATCACAACCAATACCAAAGAGTAGAAAAGACAGACAAAATACGATTGTTGCTATGGGCCAGCAGATCATTTGTGTAATATCTACGAGCTGATGGATGATATTTGTAAGCGGTTTTACCGGAGCAAAATTTTCAAATCAATATTAAACAATATTAGAATATCTTCATATAGATGGTTTATACCCATTATAAAGTTAGGTAATATGACGAAAACAATGTCCACAGAAACCTTAAGTCAATCAAGAGGAATGTCGATGTACTATCTTAAAAATTCGTCAGTTGTATACGGTAGCATATTATCATATAAGAAAGAAAATATTATTTCATATTTCAGTACGATTCGTCTGTTTGGAATTATGTTATATCAAAGTTTTACTTTATAAACAAACAGTGCACGTATAAACGTGTTGCAACGTTCCTTGACCGACTGGTCCCTTCCAGTTTTGAAACGTCGCAATACGTNAATGAGGAAATGTTTTAATAAATAAATATGCAGAATATGATGGTTGTATAATTAAGTTATCTCGTGCTAGCATATATGCTCTGTAAGTTTGTGTCTGTGTGTGTGTGTGTGTGTTTCTTTTCATGATTATATGTATTATGAAAAAATCGTCGAAAAATAACCAATTACAAAAATAAAAATGATGAAACCTTAGAAATTTAACTCTTAACAAGCATTGTTGCTCTCAACCAAAAGATATCGATCTTGATTGTTATAACCCTCGTTCTAGCTAAGTGGACGTGACCTTACTTGGACTCGACCTTGCTTGCCATGACAGGTGTCGTTGATGAAGCATAAGGGCCTTACCTTCAGGAATACCTGGTCTTATTTTCACTGTACTTTTTCAATAGTCTCCAGGTTAATCATTTCTTAGTTCGTATAGTTTTCCCTAGTTTAACGATATTTAGTTCGATTCGGAGTTTTATTGACGCTTCAGTATTTTTGCATTGGTACACAGCAAGCATATCATTTCTCAAACATGCAGGGGTTAACTGTTTTGTCGCCTTTCCTTTGAGGAAAAAATATAAACTATGAGTAATTTAAGAATGATTGAAGATTTCCAAAAACGGTCTTGGTTGATGAAATAAAAAGAGAAGCATTCTTTTCTTTTATGTACGCTCTTAGCTTAAGTGTTTGCAATTTGGATGTAATAAAAGACTACATTTAAGATTGTTTTGATATTATTTATTCAGTCGCTTGATGCTGAATGTTTAGGCATAAAGGCCGCTAGACATAGGGTTATTTTGGGCCTAATGCGTAAAAAGAAACTAAAAGACGGCACACACAATAAAAGTAACTGCATGGTTCAAAATATAAATACTAAAATTGTGAGGACATTAGATTAATTTTCGAGCGGGACGAGGTTTCATGAAGGTTTTCCCTCGCAACAGCAAAGATCATTTGAAGACAATGGTGCTTAGGGCGAAACTGTCATTAAGAAACAGAAGGAAAAAGAAAAAAACAAGATTTAAATCCAAAATATTGTAATGGGGACAGCAGATCAACCATTTCCTTCAAATTCCTCTCAAGTAGAAGATACAAAGAAAAACGACTGATTTCCAAGGATCCCCCACATAATTCGCCACTTGCGACATGCGGTGGGATACAGCAGGCATATTCTTTCTTTCAAACATTCAAGCTTTGATTTTTTAATTGCTTTTTTGTCAGGCTGTAACAGAAAATGAGTCGGTAAAAGGTATAGCGGCAATAGGTTTGGACTCGGTAGAGTCAATGTCCGTACAACAGTCAGATTTGAAAACAGCAGGAAATAAATGTTCATATCTTGCAGTCGTACTTAATAAATGACCTTAATCTATAGCAACATCGCACATCAGATTCATCCTGCTTATGTGTTAAAAATAATCAAAAAATTTGGCAATCCTGCTTCATTCCGAAAGAGGATATTTGAAATATTGGGTAATCACTAGTGATTAGATAACTAGCATGATATAAAGCCTGTTCCTGATTGGAAAAATAGTGTGATCATATATGGTATCCTGCACTTATCACAAATGTTCTCTATTCTTTTACAATTTTATTCTGTATCAATCTGTTTTAATTTTAAAACTACCTTACGTAGAATATCAAGAAATACCTGTCTCTGACACTGTCGAGGTATACAAAATATATTCGAAATGTGAAAAATATATCCTTTATTTCACCAACATATCAATAAGGCATCAAGATTAATTATTATATTTATCTTCAGCAAACATTATATCTACGAAGGTTTTGGAAATTTTTCAACGTGTCTGATGTTTAGGGCTTTTCAACATCAGGAGAGAAGATCTATTTGTTGTTTCTTTAAGGTTTTCCACCAATGGTGAAAAGATCTATTGTTTTTTGTTCGGTTTTTCATCCGTTTTATTATTCATCTGCTATGATTTTGTGGCCACGTAATCTTTTGATTTGTCACATATGCAATCATCGTCATTCAGGTCAGATATGCATATGAACAGTTTTGGGAACGCACAACGTTACTCGATGCGCAAACGATGAAAAAGTGGACGATCATTGCTTGCGCGCTTAAAACGTTTTACGATAACAATCATTGTTTTTGTAAATTGAGGAATGTTTTAACAATATATACGGCTTTATGTTAAAACATATAAACTTAATTGTTATATGTTTCTTTATTCTATCTACATCTTTAAGCCTATCTTTCTGTCTGTACGTTCTTAAATTTAAAAACGATACGTTTAACGACATTAATCGACACGTTATATTACAACAGTCCCGTACACAGGTTAATATTGTAACTTTGTAGAGGTACCTGGACCGTAGTTTTCCTCATCAGGGGCACAATCAAGATAAAGAGGAGCTATAGGCCAAACCGAAAGCAAATAACAAATACTAAACGTCCAGTTATGTCCTCACAACGGTCATATAGTATCGCATATCAGTTCTCTGTGTCAGCACAGGCCAGGTAAAAATCTGGTCACTCATCAAATTGGTATTTACCTGTTCTTTTACTTTGAAGGCAAACCCATTCTTAACAGTCTACCTGTCACTGTACTACTGTGTTATACGCATTGTGAGATTGTACATAATCTTAATTATTGTGATGAGAAATTATAGTAATAGTATCTATTATTGTACATTATTGCATACGAGCCTTCCGTATTTTTTCATTCCGTAATATTGATCAAATTGTACTAAATCGCAGTTGTGCGGAAAACGCGCACAACGGGGCGAAGGATTGTTAAATCGCACAGCTTTGCGCACCATGTGTAGACGATGGGCGGACGGTGTGTGAATGATGTATGCACAATGTGCGCACGCTATTTCTTGTGCATTGTGCGGTAACATAACTGTATTGTAGGTCATAATCGGAAGATGTTTTTGAAACATTTTCTAGTACATTAAAAATTGAAAAGCTTTTTTGTTCAGATATCGATGGGAGAGTCCATTATGATGAATTAAATGACTACATTTTCAACGCCATATTGAATATGTCCTTAGATCTTTTGAAAATGCCCACAATATTTTTGATCTTATTGTTTTCTCCAAAGCCTAGGATGGTAATTTCTTCTAAATACGAATGTGGAAACCACTGAAGAATTGAGGATTTCCTTTCTTGCCCTTTACTTGGAGACACAAAAACGACCAAAATAAATGTTCTGTACCCATTGCAATATTTTGGATCTTTATATTTCTATCTACTTCTAAATAAATTTTAATCCCAAGTGCCTTGCTTGACAATACCTCAGTTTTTGCTTTAATGTTGAATGATCGCCCAGGCAACGAAGACAATGGCTTCCGCCCCCAGGACGGGACAAACATAAGTCCTTAAAAAAGTGGTTGTTATCCCCGCTTAACGTTCAGAATTTACGATATTAGCAACAACTGGTTCACTCATTATACGTATAATGTTACCGGGCGGAATGCTGAACTGGTTGTCCTTGGCATGGTATTTCAGTGAAATTGCACAATAAAGTCTGCACCAGCTCCGCACTATCACGTGTAGGCAAATATACCGGCATACTTTGATCTTAGCTGTTAATAGGATGTTGAATGAAATAAAACCAAACCAAACCCTCGACACATTTAGAAACGTGCACATATACATCACACACAATCCAGAAGATTCTGAAATGACCTTTGCTGTTTATGGAAGTTCAACCGTCAAAAACCAACTAAACTACCAAATGCTACGTTTGTTACTTCATTAACGTACAAAATGGTCGTAATGACGTCATATCCATTCTCACATTTATTGCAAACAAGAGGCCCTATGGGCCTGCATCGCTCATCTGGTATTAATCTCACACTTGTAATCTTAAAAGTGAACTAAAATACAGCTACAGGCAGAAATTCAGCGTTTGATTCATAAGAACCAATTAAAAGATTTAAACATATGACGCCTGTGACCCTGAATGTCGTACAAGGACATTAGGTTGAAAGTGGGTCAAGGTCATTCATGTTACAGGCCCAATATCAGTACCCCTGGCCTATTGGTTATTGAGAAGAAGTCGTTTAAGATTTTAACACATTTGACCCCTGTGAAAGTGAGTCAAAGTCATTATTTGAACAAACTTGGTAGCCCTTCATACCAGCATGCTACAGGCCCAATATCAGTACCCTGGACCGTTTGGATATTCAGAAGAAGTCGTTGAAAGACTACGACATTTTACACCTGTGACCTTGAAAGTGGGTCAAAGTCATTCATTTGAACAATCTTGGTAGCCCTTCATCCCAGCATGCTACAGA